ATTACTTTACGATTATTTTTTTTATTTTTTTGCCAATTTGACTTTAAGAGATTTTTGACGATATCGATTGTTTAAAATACATTGTTGTTGGCTGGTTATACATAATTAAATTGAACTTGCATTAATCGAAATGTTCCCGTTGTAAAAACATAATACAAAAGGTAGTAAATACCTACTTCATTAAAAATACGATCCAATTTTCTATAGCATCGGTCTCCCCAAATGTGGTTTTTATTCCATCATTTTCGTTTACCACTAATTGTAGAAAATGTATTTATAAAGACACTTTTAAAATGCCAGATTTTTTTTAATATATATATAAATAAAAAAAAAAATAAATATTAACATGGCGTATTTTTAATAACGGCGGTGATATAAAGAACCTATATATCAAAACACGCATTTTCAATAATCGCTTTACATTCATTACGATCGAATGTTGTTTTTATTGCATATGACTTTGGCTCTTTTGTAATATAACACAATAGCAATAGATACGTATATGTATTAAAAAATATACAAATAGGACTAATTAAAATAATAATAAAATATATAAATATAGCTAGTGATTTTTAATCGAAATAAATTAAATAGGGAACCGAGGTAAGCAGTTCAATTCCTCATTCGAATTTTGTTTTAGAGCTCTCTAGTGCAATGTGCTTCACAGTTTGTACTCATCAGATAAATGCAGACAAACGACTCTGAACAACTTCATTTGTGTACCAGGTAGTTTTCCTAGTCAGCTCGGATCCTGTTCAGTGTTGTTCAGATTAGTCGAGGCAGCTCAAAACTAAGAGGTTTTGTGTTCAGGTTGGCGAGTAAAATGCTGATTTTTACGGCGGAATTTTTTAATTGTTTTTTTTCATAATTCATGTATGATTTCTGGGTTTATTGAATAAGCAATTACAACTTTGGGAGATTTTAATATAATATTGTAATGGTTCTAAAATAAAAAAAAAAAATTGATTTTTGTCGTACGGCAAATTAATATTACCTCGACTAATAAGGTAATCTAAAAATTAAAATGGAAATCATTACTTAAATTAGTACTTGAATACAGTAATTAATATTAATGAAATCCTAAAATTAACCAAAAAACCGTGAAACCTGGCTGGTATTATTGAACAAATAATTATTCATAATAGATATTAATTAATTATCAAATATTTCAAACAAGTTGTCCAGATTAGAATCAAATACTATCGATATCCCAAAAATAGAACTAAATGTTTTTTTTTTTTGCATTAACATACAAATATAATATATATAATATATATTATAATGTTTTTAGTGCGAGTGGATTTTATTACTTAACCAAGTATTTTAATAGGTATAATACGATGTTTTGATTATTGCAACAAAACTGCAAACGTATTATTTTATTAAAATTTATTACGAGTTTTCAACAAACGCATTCACACACACACACACACACACACACACACTATCGATTATTATAATAGTATTAATTTAACAATCGTTTAAAATATAAATCAAATATGAAATACGCTTTACTAGGTGGTTATAATTTATTAAATCATTAAAATAAAGCATTGAAAATAAGCTTAATCTTGGGTCCTGTAAGATTTAAATTTTCCACGCAAATCAAAATTAAATATTATATCTAACAATCAATCATTCAAATGTAGGTGCCTATAGCGTTTAATTTTATTCTTGAGAATTTTACGTAAATGTGAATTTATTATTCTTTATTAATCAGTTTAATATAAAAAAAAACTCAACTACAAATTTTTTTAATGTGTTGAAAGCAATGCTAGACAGTTACTTTAAATTTACATTAAGTGCTTAAGTTATATTTTTCGCAAATAACTTTTGTACCAGACATCTAGCTTGGATTATTTACTTCAGGGAAGATTTCTAGTAGACACTTTTGTTTAGCCGATGCATTGTGAAAGTCATTATTTATTTTCTTTGCATTTTTCTACATAAAAAGTGAAAGACAGGAAAAACGTCGGAAAATGGAAATATTTAAGCAATAACTGTTGTATTTTTTTTATTTTTTTGGAGAGGGAGGGTGGGATTTGAATTATAGTTCACCTAAAAATAATCATTAAAATCTGAAATTATCACCAAATATTTATAATAGCTGCCACTTAATATATTAAATCACATTAAGTCACTTCAAAACTGTCGAAGTAATTAACAGATAATAATTATTGTGGGAGCTAGTATTTGTATATTACATGCTCGATCGTTGATTTCCAATATTAAATATTTAATATATTACAATCTGCAACTAAGTTTTTAAGTAACCACATTCTCGCGGTTGACATAAATGTAAAAAAATAGAATTTTAAAACAGTTATAATAAAATATACAACACACAAGGGTCTAGAAACAAAAATCTATTCTCGTATCTCCACATATGAGTACAAAAACATTCGATAAATCCGGTAAAGTGGCGGTGTTTACTGGATTTTCCTATATTTTCTTAAAAAATGACTGGTTCATAATATGTTCCTTATATTATTATGTCCAAAAACTATGAAATACCAAACTTCAAAATAATAGTATAATTATGATTTTTAGATGAAGTTTAAAAATTTTAAAACATACATAATATATACATTTTTATTTTTATTTAGTAGATCGTGTGATATTATATGTATATTAGTTTTACCGTGTACGAAAGTTAAACTAAATCTCAGTAGTTAGATTTGTCACGCGGTTATGCATTACCCTAATTCTGGATAATTATTCGCGAAGAGGGAATGACACTGTGCTGAAATATGTGGGTGGTTGCCCATTAGAGAATTATTATTGAACTCGTTCTCGTTAATAGGTTAAGTTGGGAAGAAACTAAGTTTGAAAACAATCTAATATTCTCACTTTTGAATATTTTATAGCGTAATCAGCAACGAAATATGACGTATCTCGACTAACGATATTTTCATAATTTGTTTGATTTTGTTTTTCATCAAAAATAAAATAAATGACATTTTTTCTTTTTTTTTTGTTACTTAACTTTTATTCTTAATATGTATAATTTCTTGATGATATCGTATAATTTAATTATATATACTACAGAAATCCAAATAATATGAAATAATAAAATAAGACTGTGTTTTATAGGTTTATAATTTTTTTAGACGGCGCACTGTATAGGCAATATAGGTACGTTACTGTGCGATGGAACAAAATAAATAATTCTAAAATACAATTTTTGGACACCTTAATTTGTGTTTCGTTTCAAAGTTTACGCGTAAATTCGATGTTACTTGTTATAAAACATAATGTGATGGATTTTTCAATTAATTGTCTAGGAGTGTTGTTACAAAATTGTTAACAGTTATTTTAATGTTTTTTTTTTTTATATATTTTATCGAACATATCTGTTTTAAAATTTATTAACCTTATATATTCGTCAGTTTAAAATCGCGATCTTCATAAATATTTAAAAAAAACACTTAAACTTCGACTCATCAATGCAAATTAATTTAAATTTTATAAATCTTATTAATAATTGATTTTGTAAAATGTATAAAAATAAAATAAAAAGAAAAGATCTGATATTAGGACGAACACAATCACTGTTGTAGATTGATAGTTGGGATAATCTAATATACCCAACGATAAATCATTGATAACGAAAAACGATTCGGTGAAAATTTCGGTTGTACATATTTAAATTGCAGTTATATTTACAATTTTCATCAAAAATTGATTATAAATCTCTTATATGTATAAAAAAAAATAATAATATTACAATGGAGGGACATTTATTTATTGACCACTAAATACCACATTTAATGAAACTCCTCTCAAATTTCTAAGAATTTTTTGTAGCATTACAATTTTATTCACTAAAAACCTACCAAATAAAACCTATAAATCATTAAATAGCTAAACAATTTTACCACATCCATAAAAGAAAAATTTAAGTTTTCTGTCCAAATTTAAAATCTTTATAAATGTTTTTAACTAAATCACAATAAAATACAAAATCTAAATCAATATCACTTCGTAAATTTTCCCTTTTTTCCTACGGTGTTTCCCGTTTAAACGTGAAATGAAAAATGATGAAACGTTATTGCCATAAATTTGTCAGATTTTGGACTTTTTGGTTTTATTATGACGTGTATTTTGCTTTCTATCCATACAACTTTTCCACTAGAATTATTGCTCTGAATGAAAATTTATAAGATATTAATCTCGTTCAAATGCTTGAAAATTAAACACAAAGTTGAATTAAGTAGTCTAAAAACAAATTTAGGTTTAATTCATTGGTTTATTTTCTTAATCATTTTAAGGTCAAATTTTAAAAAAAATTGTAGAATGTAATATTTACAATGGAAATTTAAAACATGAAAAACTTATGCTTGCCTTTCTAGACGGATTACAATTTATAAAATATTTGTTGTACTTTGAACTATTTATAGATATTTGTTGAGTTTTGTACGTAATTTGTATTAAATTGGTACTCTATTAAACCATTACACTAAACAAAAATGCTTGACATTGATAGGAGATACATTATACGAGATCTAATCAAAAAGTATCGAGTCTGTTAATAAAAAATATACATATTTATTAGATAAAGATATTTACATTCAATCTTCAAAACATGCTCCTTCTTAATCTATACATGTTCTCCAACGTTCCTGCCATTTTTGAAAACACCTCTGGAAGTCATTTTTAGAAACTCCTCGCAGCTGCTCCGTCGCATTTTGTTTTATTTCATCTACATCTTGAAAACGTTTACCCTTCAGTGCTATTTTTATCTTTGGGAATAAAAAAAAATTACATGGAGCTAGATCTGGTGACTAGGGAGTTTGAGAAACAACTGGGATATCATGTTTGGCCAAAAACTGCTGCACAACATGGGCTGAATGGGCTGGTGCATTATCGTGATGCAATGTCCAACTACCAGACTCTTAAACTCAGGGTCTTTTTCTTCGTACAGCATCTCGNTTTGTTATGGTCTGTCCTTTTGGAGCATACTCATGATGAACAACACCTTGGATGTCGAAAAAAACAGTCTACATAACCTTCACTTGACTCCGAACTTGTCGAGCTTTTTTGGGTCGTGGTGAATCAGGTGTCTTCCACTGCGAAGATTGTACCTTTGTTTCTGGATCGTAGCCATATACCCAAGTCTTGTCACCAGTTATAATTGATTTTAAAAAAAATTCATCAGATTCGGAACACTCTAGCAAATCAGTGGTGATCTGTTTTCTGTTTTCTTTTTGCTCATCTGAGAGCAGTTTTGGAACAAATTTGGCTGCAACTCTTCTCATATCTAAATCAGTCGTCAATATGGTTTGAACTGATCCGAATGAGATTTGAAACTCATTACTAAGTTCCATAATTGTCAAACGACGGTTACCTCGTATTGCTGTTCGTATTTTTTGAACCATTTCCTCATTGCGGCTTGTTGACGGGCGTCCTTCACGTTCATCACTTTCAACAATTGTTCTATCCTCTTTAAATCGTTTGAACCATTCAAAAACGTGAGCACGGGACATGGTTTCATCTCCATAAGCTAACAATAACATTTAATAGGTTTCAGTAGCCGTTTTCCCCAGTTATGGCAAAATTTAATGCACACTCATTGTTCAATATTTTCGCTCATAATGAAATCTGACAGGACGTAAAAACACACTTTACTTAATCGCACCTAGAAGCCGACTGAGACAATTTTAATCTAATCTATGCCTAATATATTTTCCCAACATACAAAGTTTGATTAATATAGCNCGTGCAAGTTCATACTCAAACCAGTTTACGATTTATCTTATCAGTCTCGATAATTTTTGATTAGACCTCGTATATCGAACTTAATGGTCAGTAGTAAAAAACAGGGGTTTTTTTTAAATTTTTTTTCAGATTTTTAATACAAATTTTGATGAAAATTGTAAATTGTAGTACCATTCAAGGACATGTATAACCGGCTTCACTTCGAATCATTTTTCGTTTTCAATGGTTTATCATGGCTTACGGGTATAAATTAAATAAATGTATGTATCTTACTTTTCTGACATCCCATCTACAACAGTGGTGCCCTCTTCCTGAGTATCAGTTTTTTTTTTTTTTTTTATTTTTATATTATTTTTCAGTTAAACGAAGTGTGAAAGGAAAATTAAAAAACGAATTCCCAATGTATCAAAAACATCGAGAAGTCATCAATAAGGGCTCTATTGATATTTTGCGATTGGTATAATATTACTCATGAAATAGTTATAATTAAACAGAAACAAATTCACATAGTAATACCAAGACGTTTATTTTCCACCCTTAGAGTCTTAGACAGTTTTGATTTGTATTTTATTGTGAATACAATTTTTCAAACATAATTGGCATTGGATTTAATGTCTATTTTTTTTTTATCGGTAAACTCAGTTGTTTACAAAAAACTAAAAATAAATAATGGTATTATTTAATATATTGTTATTAAAATCGAATTCATTTTATTTTTATGCATAAATTCTAAGTGGTAAATTTGTAGTGGTCAGCTTAAAATTAACCGTTTATTTGGTTAGTTCAGTATTATAACAGTCATTCACTGACGTATGATATTTTAGTGTTGTCGTATACATTCGTAATCTGATTTGTTTAATTTTCATGCAAAAAGGTAACCAAGAAAGTCTTCAAATTGAAAACTACATTAATCGATTAACATAAAATAAACATCAACACGTAAAAATCAATAAATGCGAATGAATATAAACGACAAAAAACGTGTGTAATATTGTATCTAGTTGTTTCGCGTTATAATAAAGAAACAACATAAAAATGTAGAACACCAAAAATAAAAACGTTAAAACAAAAAAATAAAACAGTGTACAAGGGTTTAATTTTTTTCTTTTTAGGTGTTTAGTATTACCACTTTTATATTATGTTTAAGTAAATAAAAGTCTATGGGTCTGTATTTTTGAACCGGACCAATTGTCAGCGAATATTATTTACCGGACCAAATGACAGGTCATCCGTTTTTATAAAGTAAAATCGGGATTGTTATTAATCACTTATCTTAAAATTGGATCTTGCCATATCATATTATAATGTAAACAATTTTGATTAGCAGAGTTCTGTTATTAGAGTCGAATTTTTCTCATATTTGTGAAACATTCACACATTCATTGTAAAACAACAGATAACCGATTATAATAACAATATAATATATACTATATTGTTATAAAGTGTATAACAGTACATAAATAACGATAATTGTATTACTTCCAAATAAATATTGAAGGTTGATAATTTTGACCAAGTTTCTTACTTCCATGAATCTTTAATGGTATTTCAAACTTGCCATCTCCTATTAAAACATGATTCCGAGTATACAAATAGTTGGGATGTGGTTGAAAGTTTACTCTCAAAAGCACATTCCTGATACGTACATCAAGCATATACAACATATCTTTCCTCCGGCTTCATTTGGGGGTCTTTAGTGTTGTACAAAGAAACCTCCCTGCCGCAATTTCATGGTGTAATTCATATTAAAGTTTACCTGTTATCTTATCACTTTGATTCACCTATAAAACAACTCTAATTCTCGAGAATGAGTTTACTGGGTCTAGTGGGAGCCGCTAAAAAGTGCCCAAAAGTAGTGAAAAAAATGGTATAGCAGATAATCGATAGTGCAATAGTCTCTATTTTTGGGAATTTTGTTTTGCATGTACTTAATCATTGTTTATTTAATTCGTAATTTGTGAAAGGAATTGCGGTGTTTGTGCTAAAATAAGTCTTTTTACCTAGGTATCATTGAAAAAATAATTTGAGTAAAAATAAATTTAAATTGAGTATACATGTACAATATATGTATATTGTTAAATCTCAGACTGCAGTATAATATATTGTTTGTTGCAATAGTAGATTATTTCCAGAACTAAAATTTTAGTTTATAAGAGAAAAAAACTAATGTCAAATACTGATACTTTATTATTGGTAGACCACTAAATAAACTACTTATTGACTTTGAGACAAATAATATCCTATATTTTTTTTTAAATTAGAAAAAATAACATAGTTATTATTGACAAATTGATCCAGCTTCGAAATATATCATGGACAACTGACCATTAAAATTGGGTGTGAAATGAAAAAATACGAAGTTGAACGTATCACTGAAAGATATCTCGAATGCACATATACACGTATTAGCTTGCATTAAATGTGATCCGACTTTCGAGCAGTACGAATGAGTTAATTTCACTTTCCCCATTTGTATAGGACATATGAGTTTGTTTTGCTGTTGACAAATCTGTCTGCACACCTTTTTTCCGATTTTCGTGTACTCAAAACGTCTGACCTTATTGCAAGCCGCTAACGAGCACGTTTCGCATAATTTTTTTGTGAACCGTTCATCGAACTTGTCGCCTTTTTAACAGCAAAAGAAAACAACATTATTTTTAAGTATACAAAATATGGAACTACACCGTCGTCGGTGCATTAAAAATATTTAACTGTTGGCGTATTATTATGTAGGTTTATTATATTATAAACGTTGAAATATCATAAAAAATAATCATTATTATAAATCGGGGTCTATATCGTTGATGTTTGTTTAATAATAGTACTCGTATAATCATCGCGAAATTTCAGGCTAATGAAAAAAACACAATATTTGGTAAAAATAGGTTAGTTTTCCATGTAAATTCAAAAACTATTTCGGCATAATATGATAGTGTGAAATTCGTATAGCTCATATACGTAATATAGTATACCTATTTTCTCGAATAATTGTATTTGTGTTTGATGAAGTTAAAGTATCATAGATTAGGGAGTGGGGGACTGCCCGTGAAAATAATGTGTGCAGATATTATAATATTACAATTAAGTAGTATAACTAAAATCGGTATTTTTGATTCATAGATTTGTTATACGATTTTATTTTTTTTTTAATAAATACAAAAACGAATTGATAACGATTAGAATAATCGTATAAACGGGTTGACATTTTTACGATAGTTGGTAATCATCAACGAATCAAAAATGCCTATGGACGAAATGACCAAGTAAAAACGGCTATAAAAATTATTTTCTTCTTAAAATTTTACAGTTTTAAGGACACTGCCAAAGTCACTAATACGCTTCTTCATCTTTCACTATCCAATACCTAGTCTATTGTCATGTTCCCCAGGACCATAATGAAGTTATATTCTTCTTTACGAATCTCAAAGCAGTCTAAACTTGAGTTTACTTCGAGCTAGTAAGCTGGTTTAATTTTCTTTACAAAGAGTACTTTAAGAATTGTCCAGCATTATCCTGAATTGTCACACATTTTCACTAAATCAAAATATTTTGTGTGATACAAAATTTGTTTATAGCTTTCCATAATATTTCCGTTTTAGTCTTGTCTACTGTTTACTATGGTTAATTATCCGAATAGATCGAAGGATTTGTTCACAATATAAAGAAAAGGTAAACAATACAACTTACGCAATGAAAGGTATATATTTGAATACCGTGAAAAAGGGGAAACGGAAAAAGCCTACCTACTGACGCATAATGGAAACACTGCGGTTGTCGCAGTTTATTTAAAGGTTTTTGGAAAATTCAACCATTTCGGTCTGTATTATAATAAACTTTGTGGACGCCACGCTGTGTTTTCCCATATGACATTTTGTTGTGGTTTTTTTTTCTTTCGGTCGATAGGTGTACCTTGAATATTTATTATTGTTTGAAAAGGATAAATTTGAAAGGTTCCATTTGTGTGTGTGTGTGTGTGTGTGTGTGTGTGTGTGTGTGTGTAAAAGGTGTGCATAAAAGGTCGAGTTTTATAAAATATCTTATATTAAGTATTGAATCTCACGAAATGCAGGTGTTGTAGACTTATATAAAATACATTATATGTACCGATACATTTTTTCCCGAAAAAAAAAAAATAAATGAAAATAAAAATAAATATTCAAGATATATGGTCAAACTACAACGAAATTGATAAAATACATTACGTCCCGCATTTTTACTGGGTTCTTAATTTCGAAAGTTTTCGGTATTTTTTACATGTCCTCGAAAAAACTATAATGAAAATCGAATACCCATCTACCTCGTTTAAGTAATGTTATTTTTTGAATATTTTTACAAGCCGAATATTTGTTGTCCAAAACAAAATAAACATTATAATACCATAATATCCACTTAATTTAAAATTTAATGGCTCTGTAACGGTTCAAATTTTAAAGTAATTTCAGCTACCTACATTTTTTTTTTTGTTAGTTTTTAATATCATTCAATTTTGTTTTGAATAGTTACATAGGATATACTATATGTATAAAAAAAGAAAATCAAAACAAGATTACTAAATATATATATAAACATATACTTAGAATAACATTATCGATAACATTTTTACTTATATTTTCCAATATTGAAAACGTACGATAATAAATACGCTGAAAACATTCAGCAGTATTTAAAAATTGCATTATTTGTCTTACCTAATAAAATCTTTGGCGATTTAAATTGTATTTTATCATATCCTTCAATATCATTTTTTCCCACATTTCGATAAATCAAATTAATGGGATTCATTTCGATCGAAGTGTTTACAAAATGTTTCATATTGAATCGATTATCTATTAAGTTACCAATTTTATTTTGCAAAATAACAATAATAATAATAATAATAATAAAAAAAAAAAAAAAAAAAAAAAAAAAAAAAAAAAAAAAAAAACACCCGAAAATGTAAAACTTACTTACTACGCCGGACGGGTCGATATATGACAATGCAGTATCTGTTAATGGAGTTTTTATTCCGTATCCATAAAATCCATTAATTATGGTGAAATTTGGTTGCACATTTTTAAATTCATCTAAACATAATATCATAATTTTGTTGGTTTTCCTCATAGTAAACTAAAAATTCTAATGCTATTCATATTACCCGATTGAACTAATAATAATAAATAAGCAAATATTTTTAACATTATAAAAACATAATGTTATATTATTATTATATTGTGACAATATAAATATTAACTATTGCTTTTATAAAAATATTTTCAGTTTGTTACTAGAAACCTGCATATTATATTTGTTAAATTTCCATTGAAAGAGATTAGAAATTAGGCATAATCGCCATACGTAATTCGAGGAAATCGTGTGTTATTATTATTCGTATTTGTTTTTGACGTGTTTATACATATCAAGCAGTTGTTACAAAGAAAAATAATTGTTGGTAGCCAACATACTACAATATCAAAGTGATACAATTTTAAAAGTTTGTCCATATTAAAATTAATATTTTGTTTAGAGGTTGTGTTTTAGAAGTTAAATAAGTTGTTTAATAAGGTGATATTAAAATCAAAAATGCATTGTTTATTGCAAGAAAAAATTAAATGTATTTATTTACATATCCCATTTGATAAATTATTCTGGATTAAGGAATATTATATTGAATTGATTTTTTTTAAAAAAAAATGAAAATAGCATGAGCACATGATTTATTTAAACACAGGTTTTTGTGTTATTATGGTTTTTTTTTTTTTTTTTTTTTTTTTTTTTTTATTTTTTTTATTTATAGTATGAAACAATTTTATCGAATTTTATACTTTCCTGTATTTCCTTTTTTTAAAATTATAAAATAACTATATCTATAAGTATTAATAATTAGTATAATGTTTAAGTCAGTAATGTGCTACATATACATCAACCTACTCAGGTAATTTAGCCATCATGGACTTCGTAGGATACACATTCACGCAGCTACTGCATATGTTCAGTGATCTTTTTTTTGTCATATTCTGGTTTCCATTTGATAGTACATCTATAAATATGTAATCTGACCTCCATACAAGTCTTAGCCAACCTTTTCGCTTTCTTTCAAATGTCTTTATTATGCCACCAGTTCCCTGAATAATCTTTTATTTCAACGTTCGTTTTTCCTTCATATTCTTTGGTCCAAATATGTCCCAGAACCGTCAATTTGATCACACTTTCTTTCGAGATTTACTACTGTTTTTATGTTATATATTTTATTTATATATATATATATATATATATATATATATATATATATTTTATCTTTTAATATTTCAAATATTATGTGTCCGTCAATTTTTAAAATAATAAATTGTTTATAAAATAATAGTCCGTTTATGCTATATCGGTTGTTATCAATTGTTGGACTACCTAATATGTTCGAGTAAACTGGTAATAATATTATAATACGAGTATTTATTCTGGGTTGATATGAAATGGAGGTACCTGCATCGCGTTCATAAACTGTAAATATAATGTAGATGGTTTAAATCTTTGTTTCGAACAATATAATTACGTTTAATACCCGCACCGTGTTTTTATAAGAGAAATAATTATTTAAACTTGATGAAAACCGTGTAGCAAAAAAAAAAAATCGGCATACGCCACCACTATGGGTGTAAAACTGTTGTAGGAATCAAGTTAGATATGTAATATATACAGAGTAATTTTATTGTTAATGAATAACTTAAATTGAAAATTGTATTTATTTGTTATCATAAAATAAATTACTAATGTTCTTTTGTCTCAAATTGTATGGAACCAAATAAGTTATATTCACATAAATTAGAAAAAAAAATATAAAATATCATAATTTTTTTTAATCAAAATTTGAACTTAGAACGCTTATAAAGAAATAAATACACGTAAAGTAAGAGCTATAAATCTACAGTTCTAGAGTCAAACTTTTGTACATAATTTTTGTTCGGTAGGTACTCTGTGGATAAAGTTGCTAGACCAAACCGAAATTATTAAATGTACTTAATTTAGAATTTTTTTGTTATATGAATTTCAATATCAAAGTTTGAAAGCAACACTTTTAACCGAACTCTGCTCAGAATAGTTTTTCGTTAACAATGGTTAAGAGCTGCCTACAGATATGAATTAAAAATCCTTTTTAACCTTCTCAATTCCTCACCCATAATAGTGGTCTACCCATCGTGCGAAGTATATTCGTCGTTTTTTTTTTATAATTAAACTTTGTGTTTTAAATTTTATGTGCAGCTAAAAAACATTCTGCCTTTTTATGATGGTTTTTTTTTTCAGAAAACACTTTTTCGGTTAATAAAAATTCTCCGTATTGCCCTTAAAAGTATGTATCTACCAACTATTAACAGATCGTTTGTTTACTCACCGGTACGGTTTACGTTATGAACGGATTGCCTTTGAGTCCTTCCATTTATTACTATCATTGTTGCTAAAATGTACATCAATGCACGGGATATTACGTTAATATTGTTTAGAACCTTATTATATACAGACATAATATACTACTTATCGTTCAGCATGTTACATTAAAATGGGTGCGCAATATATGTTAACGACTGAGGTGTTTTCGGTTAGTTTAGCGTACATGCGATTAATCATATCGTCGTGGTTTTAAGATACAGCAGGATTATAATTGTCGGTTACATCGTGTTAACTGAAAGGAAAGCATACTATTTTATTTTAAAAACGGAATTATTGGAAGAAATTAAAATAATAAAAAAAAAAGAGCTGATACTAGGGACGGGTGCAGCCATTGTTGTAGATAGGGAGTTGGGCAGGCAGGATGCATAAAGTTATTTAATTTATATATGTAGGCAATTTTAAACCATTAATAACGAAAAAACTATTCTGAGTGGAGTTCGGTTAATAATGTTGTTTTCTCACTTTGATATTAAAATTCTTCTAAAAACAAAAAATTCTACATTACGCTATTATGACTTATGTGATAGAAAGTTTAAACGAATATCAACAAAAAAATTAAAATGCCATATACTTGTCTGTGTTTCCTACGTTTTCGTCTCGGTTTTTCATAATTATTAGGAAAACTATACAGAAAATCAAACAACGACTTTCTTATTCTAAAACTAGACAACATTTTATTTCAGAAAATATGCTATTCTTGAAATTTGGAAAAACAATTCTGGTAGCGAAATCTAATCTTAAAAATAGCTAATACAAGAGTCAGGTGTGGTTACCGTTATAGATGAGTAGTTGAAAAAGTGGGATACATAAATTTACTCAATTTATACATGTAATCAAAGATAAACCATCGCTAACGAATATCTATTCGGAATGAAGTTCGGTTATATATATTTTAAAAGCTCGTAAAATTTACGTTCTCCGTCAAAATTTGAGTTTAAAAATTCGATAAAAAAATACCACTATTTTTTTTTTTTACTATTGATCACCAAGTACGACGTAATAAACATCCTATCAAATTGCATGTATCTTTATTTAATCTAACGATAACTATAAAATACAAATTAGATACAAAACTCGTAAAATATCTATAGTTCAAAAAACATAAAATATTTTGAAAATTGTAATTTGTCTAAAATGGCAAGTATAAGTTATTTTTATGTTTTTACGACTATTTTTAATTGCCTTACAACAATAAAACAAAACTGAAATATATATATAAATACATTTTCCCTTTCTTTCTACTTATTTTTCGTTTTTGCTCAATTATTAAAAGAATCAAAAAAATAACTTTCTTGATTACTAATAATATATTAAAAATTCAACAAAATAGTTTTCTTATGTTTTTTCTATTCATGATATACTTTTGGTAGTAAACATTAGTCGCAAAAATTTGAAATAATGAAATCGTTGAGCAGTAATTTGAAAAAATCGTATTTTTTGACTTTTTGGGTTTTACTAATTGTTTTGAAAACTTCTATTGAAACCAAAAAAAATTTCTCAGTTAGTGGCATTATAATAAAAGGTATAAAATCGATTTCTTTCGATTTTTAATTGGAACAATATTTCTAGTAGAAAACATCGTAAATAAAAATTAAAAACAATGAAAACGGTAACGCCACGTGGCGCCGTAAATATTTGACATTGTTGTACCTATTATTTTCTTTCGGGTTCTTCCCAATTATTTTGTAAACCTCTTAGAAAATCAAACAATGACCTCTTCAATGTACTACCTAGATACAATTTTCTTTCAGAAAATATGTGTACAATTGGTACTTCGGAGAAACTTTTATAGTAGAAAAATTGCTCACAGAGCCAAAAAAAACACATATAGCAAAATAGATTTCTCGCTATGTTCCGAATTTAAAAAAAAAAAAACATAAATACTCACGGAAAGGTTACAATAGGAAAGTTGAGGATATCTGAAAGTCATATTATAATGCAAAGCGTAATTGATTTATAATATTATACCGAATTCACCGAATACAATCAAAAATCTATTTTAAGCAAGGCTTGATGAACCAAAATGTAAAGTTTTAGACTATTTACTGTTTTTTCTCTTGTATCCGAGTTAACCTCCCAGAAGCAATAATAATAGGGAATAAAAAAAAAAATCACTACACATCTTAAAGCTAACCCCCCAGATCCGGTGCTTGTGGGCTTTGTATTCTACCTGTCAGAATTATACCATTTGGGTACCGTTAAAAACGCGATGTGTTTATAAAATCGCGTGTTATTTCCCCGTGTTATTATTATTATTATTTCAATGTTGTTCCCTGTGGTGGTAGTGTACTGATGTGTTCGTGCAAGCACATAACTACAATAATACAATAATATTCAGACAGACACGCCGAAACGCGCGTGAATAAATTGAGCAAAATATTGCTGTACCTATACAGGGTAACCAATATAACACATGATACTTGTTATCTTGGCGTTATAATTTATTTTGTTCGTATTTTTTTTTTTTAGATAATTTATGATACAGTCGGCTCTAAAATGTTCATAACCGTTATTCTTTTTCATTCTATTTTTGAAAGAAAAATCACTACCCACGTCTGATTTTCAAATAGCTATCTTAAATTTTTCATTTCAACACCGAAATCGATTCTTCAAATTTGTATTGCATTTTTCTATTATAAAACTGAAAATGCGTACTGGTTCACTTCCAAAAATAAGGGCGGTAGCGAAAAAATAACAGTGACGTAACATTTTACAGCCGCTCGTGTCCTGTGGAATAAAATACAAAAAAAGTTTACTTTCTAAGATTATGAGTATCCGTTCCTACACTCTTATTGAGTCATATTGATCACCCTGTATATCGGGAACACGCTGAAAACTCGTGCGGGGTCTTGTGTTTATTGTGGTGCGAGAATTTCGTTTTTGTACCTTCTATTTATTTTCACTTTATAATATTATTGTCAAAATAATAATATTAACGTTTAAGGCGATAATAATTTGTCGTTTTAGATTCCCGGAGCCTCGTGAGCATACACCCGCGATTATCCGTGTAATAACAAAATCCATGGATTGCATACGTCAGCTATATCAGCTTATAGGTTATGCTAACAGTTTATATCGATAAAATAGAATTGCGGTATACTTAGGTACTCGTATATAGTTCGCTGATAACAATGTTTTTACGTAAACAATACCGCTATTGATTTTTTTTCTTTTATTTTTTACTCTTCTCGTTCAAGTACATAACATGCAATCAATTATAATAGCATAAAACATACAATTATACCTATATATTTCCGTGTGAAAATCCGTATTCTATAGGTAGTCATGTTCAATATAAAAATAAGTAACATCGCTGCACTCGAAAATATTTTCAAATGTCAAGGAGAAAAAAAAAACAAAGTACCTATACATAGGATTATATTATGAAAGTATATGATGGTACCATGGGTATATTTTATAAAATGTCTTTCCATACAAAAGCCTAGCTTTGCTGGCTCAGAATCAGAAATTACTGTTAGGTGACTCTTCAATTGTATCAATAATATACTTGTATAATATTTTTTTTTAAAAGAACGACGCTAATATTGATTAGATTTTTATAAAATATAGCCATGGTACCATCATATACTTTCATAATATAATCCCATGTAAAAGTACTTTGTTTTTTTTCTCCTTGACATTTGTAAATATTTTTGAGTGCAGCGAAGCATTTAATGGCAACAAATCAGGCGTGTTTGGTAGGTAATTTTGTGTAACACTAATAGATCAGGATGGTACAACCTGTGGCCAGTGAGCCGCATACATTTCTAAAAGCTTTCCCCCCCTCCAGAAGACTTATATATAAAAAAATCTAATTAACTATGATAGAATATTAAGTCAATTAATCTGTTGTGTAATCATTTTTGCACCATATAATATGTTTGTAATAAAATAAAATATAAATAATAATATCATTTTTTTATTTTGGTTGCCCCCGGTGTTTTTATGAAAGTGTAAATTGGCCCGCCAACTACAAAAGGTTGGACTACCCTTGTATAGATTATAGTATATATATATATGTAGAGTTATATGAAAATGTTTGAAAATTGTTTTGTGATTTTTGTTCTTTTTTCCATTTATTCGGATTCGATTAAAACTTATGGGGTAGTATATTAAACATATTCTCTTGAGGATTCCCAGTTATGATTATAACTTTCTCGTAACAGTTACAACTCCCGAAAGTATTATTTTTGTCGAGTTACGACGTGCTATACTTACATATTATTTCGTATAATGTTCGACTCGGATAAACTTCTATATAATTAACCAAATTCAGACCGAGTAACGAGTGTATACATGGTTATATTAAAATATTAATTATTACATATTTCACTATAAGTAATGACATAATTGTTTTGATGAATTTTCTAATACTCTGCAGCAGCTATAATATTTCTGATAAAGGTTTTTTTGATAAATATAACGAAGAAACGCGTTCAAAATATAAGTAGTATATTTAAGCAAATATAATAGCTTTTGAAAATTGAGATTACGGAAATATAGTATAATTATATTATATAAGTAATATGGCAGTGCTTATAGATACCTAATATTTTGAACGAAAAATCAGTTTTGTTTCTGAGCGGTCAGTTAATAATAAGAGACTCGGTGCTCAAAATAATATGTTATTGTTTCTTTGATAACATGATTTATCTGATAATTTGCATTTTTTTGTGCATCCGCGTTTTTTGTCGTACATGTTATTTTAACTTTAAATTTTTTTTCCTGCTTATGTATTTCTAGATACGCGAGATTTTTAATACCATTTTAGATGTAGTTAATGCAATAGAGAGGTTTTTTTGTAGTTTACCTAATAATTGTTAAAAACCAGAAAAAAAAAGTAGGAAAAACAATTTCTTTTGTCTTATAAAAAGAAAGAGCTGATATTGGGGATGGAAGGGGACACTGTTGTAGGTGAGAAGTTGGGAAGGTAGAATACATAAGGTTATTTTATTTATATCTGTAAGCGAAAATAAACCGTTGCTTGACGAAAGACGATTCCGATCACAGTTTGGTAATGCATACTTTGAAGTTCCGTAATTTTTTTTTGCGATTTTCGTTTAAATTTAATTTCAAAACGTTTATTAAAAAAAAAAAAAAAAAAAAAAGTTGTCTTATGATTTGGAAACTGTACCACGTAAGGCAAGTTTAATAAAAGTATTATTACCGAGTTTCAGGTCTCTAAGTGTATTTACAATCGAATTACAGCAAAACAACTCCCAAAAATTAAAATTCCTTTAAAGCCCAAAAGTGACTCAAAAGTTTTAGAGATGATACCGTAAGAAGTTAAATCAAAAAAACAACCAAAAAAAAATATTTTGTGAATTTTCGATTAAATTAATTTTCCTGGTAGAAACGTCGTCAGTGTTTTTATAAAATAATGAAATCGTGAAATTGTACGTTTTCCTACGTTTTTTCTCACTTAAGTGCTTTCATTTAAAAAATGGCGTCGAAAATGATCTTCTTAAATTACCATTAGACAATTTAAGCTTTCAGAAAAGTTGCTACATGTAAAAATCGGAGGAACTTTGCTAGGAGAAAACGTTTCCACTGACTAGAACAAAGAACAAAGAATAAAGAAAAAAAAAATAAATATTTTAGTAAAACCAATAGTCCTTGCTACGCTCGGAATCTAAATTCGTAGGGATCTGGTCGTTTTACATAATACTTTTATCAACGAGATTTAATTTTCAAAATACTAGTAACTCTTGAGCTATTTATAGCCATTTGAAATTTTCGAATCAAAACATTTTGCGTAAAGTGTCGCGGTGTGGTACGATTAAGTTGTAGCGACGGTTGTGGTGGTGGTGTACCTATAGTGGGTAATTCTGACGACGATGCTGTTTTAATACAAACTTTATAATATTTATTAAGTATTTTGATATAAATTATTTTATAAAAGTGCATTACCGAGCTTTGTTGTTAACTTTTTTTTTTTTATTTTGGTATCTATTATCACCTTTTGTACCGAAAATCTTACTCTAATCATCAACTTAAAGCGAAGTTTCTAATAGTAAACATTGTCGGGTTGTCGCATTGAAGTCATTTTTTGATTTTTCCTTTAAATTTTCTTTATTACTTGGGAAACCCCGGAAAAATATTTATGTAAAACTGCGGTTTTTTGTGTTTTTTGTTGGATAAAAATAATCGTATAGTATTGAAATATTTTTAACGAATATTTAAATGAACCCCATTTAGAAACGGGAACATTTTCAAAATATTTGGGTGATTTTTGAGCTATTTACAGCCATTTTTTTCTTACTTTTTGTTTTGTTTTATGTGTATAATGTTCTTGAGGTTCTCAAAATTGCTCTACAGTTAATGACAAGGTTAGATTATCGCACAAATAAAATATTAGATTCTGAAAATCTTAATTTTATAATTGTTTCAACTCAAATTATGAATGAAAATCAATAAAAATTATAAATATTGTCGGCTCAGCAAAATTATAAATGTAGAATACAAATCGTTTTGATTTGTTTAAAAACATGTTTAACTGAACTTTGCTTAGAGTTGTTTTTTGATGAAAATGATCTATATTTTAGTACAGATATAAATTAAATTACCTTTGTAAATTACCACCAACAACAGTGACACACAGTGTACAGTGTACCTCCATGGTGCAAAGTGCATTTCGTCGGTTTTCGTTTCTCGCTGAAAAGAGCGGGCATTTAAACGCTGACAATCGAATAACGCAATAATTCATTTTGTCATTATTTTATTATTTTAAATTTTATTTCCAGATAAAATATGCATTACAAAAAAAAAAAAAAATTCCGACAAAATGTTTACAATATTTCATAAAATATATGTACATATACAGAAAAACAAAATCGTAACAATATACATGATTCGGAGTATACAATAATAATATTTTCAGGCTTATATAATTATTTGAAGAAATAATAATAATAATAATAGCAATATAGGTATAATGAATATAATTTTATGATATCGAACATTTATATGAAATGACACATTTTTTTTTTTTTAGTGATATAATAATATAATATAACAATAGGAGACAAGGAGACAATTTTCTCAAACAGTTTTTCGCAAAAGTTAATTTTATAAATATTTCCACATTAATTTCCGATTTGTCATTTTCCAAAATACCATATTTCCCTAATAGTCAGTTATCCCAATATGAATTTAATATTTTCCACATCGACGTATTTAGGTTTTTTTGTTAAATTTAATTTTGTCTTATGTAATTTACCCGCCCTCCTCTTTATTTTGCGATATTTTGTTATAGTATACGAATATTCTACAAAAAAAAAAAAAAAATAATAATAAAATTGGATTGTAAATATTAATAATTGATTGGAAAATAGTAAAATCGGGAGAATTTAATTGGGAAACTGACATAATAGAGTGTATCGATGATCACATATATATATATATATATATATATAGATACACTAAACGATATTGTTTCATTTGGTGTCACAAAAGGCGATAGGATAATAACATTATAATAATATCAGCTATTAATTTCGTATTTCCACTCCAGGATTAGTTCCTTGTTTTTTTTTTTTATAACGATTGTGAAACCTTAATAGGAAAATAAAACGTAATAAACATCGATGCACATTCCACGGACATAACAATATTGCATTTTAAATCGTGTATTATGCAATATTGAAATCGTGAATATGAATGTTAACATTATATTATAATTGAATATTTATAGCTCAGACATTGATCAGTTATCGACGTGTGTTATTTTTTATTCATGTATATTTATAGGATATATAAATTATGTACATATTTACAATTGAATAAAATCTGTACATCGTTTTCACGCAAAACAATTTAATATTATTATTACAATATATTTTATTTTAATTTGAACAAAAATGCAATTTCTTACATAAAAAGCACGAGGTTAGGTGGCAAGGGGTCCGGGAAATACACGGACTATTAAAACCTTTTAGACGATTCATGATACATTCGGAATTATATTTACAGTGTGCGATAATTAATTTCGATTGTTTTTTTTTTTTTGGTCTATCATGATGAAATCTCATGTAAAATAATTTTAAAAATTGTTTTTCTCATTTCCTTATATACAGATATATTATTGTAAATATGTTTTAATTTTTTTAATTTTAATCCAACAACTGGTTATAAATGTATGTAAACACGATTTATTGATAAACCGAGATATATTATTGCAGTATAATGATTCAAAATATTATCGCCAAATAATCAATAACTTCATTTACACACGGCTGCTTATCGCTCTGCATTACATAAACACGAGATAGAATGTCACTAACGGTTACTATATTATTCGGAAATTCGAATTTGATATCGTTTTGAAATTTTTCACGAAATGGTAGTGTAATTATGTAAATATCGTCAAAAAGATTCTTAATCGATTTTATAATAACTAGAAAATAACCCCGAAAAATAAAATTTAAGTACAATTTTTGTTGATGATATTATAAGTAGTAGGTAGTTCAAGAAAGATGAAAAAAAAAATATCACCGTATATTATACAGGTATAAATATATTCTACGTTTCAGCGACTCTATCGTTTATTTACGAAAATGTCAAGCAAATTTGAATTTTTATTTTCTTCAGTCATTTAAGGAATTTCATTTTAACTTCTATATTTTCAATATTTACCATTTTTCACCAAAACATATTTCACATTTTCACATTTGTTCGAAGGATTTGAAAAACGAAAATGTTTGCTAAAAATGTCGATCTTATAATACAAATTTTGGCCGAAAGTATGGAAAAGGATAAATGTATGCTTATCTGATCAAATATTAGGAACAAGTATATTTGAAAATCAATGTTTGATATTTATGTGCGTTTTGGCGTACATCGCACTCGTATATAATGATGAAATCTCGAAAATATTGTGAACTAGACGGTTGCACGACTCGTTAATAACTGATGGACAAAAATTAAAATCAGATTAATTATCGTAGACAATAATCGCTGATTGTTAGAAATAATAATAATAATAATAATAAAAAAACCTTACTGTATATAAAATATATGGCTAATTAATACTAATCTTGAATACAACACTATTATTAGTCTTTGCTAATCGTTATAATTTCCGTACAATTAGCAAATAATTGTACTATTACCATTGATTTGTTCCAACACAGAATTCGGAAATAGATGTTGACCAATCAGTGATTGATTTGTTGCGCATACGCTACCGTGGTCTGATCATGATGAACAGATGACAAATTCGAATGCAAATTCCATTGATAAAAATATCAAATATATGATTCCGGAGTCTCTCACTACCAGTTTCTCATCCAAATCCGCGGATTATTTCGGCTATCAGAAACCGATCCTTAAACTGGTCTAATACTTAATGTGACGGAAGTTGGAACAATTGTTGGACAGTTTGAGTGTGCCTTCCTGACGCGTTGGAACGGCAAAACTCTACTGCGTATGCGCCCCTAGCGGGTTCTGTGATAGTTTAACCATGTGTTAAAACAAGCCTGACAAATATTGTATTATAAACCGATTTTATATAATATGTAAAAGCAAGTATGGTAATAATTGTATTAATTACTCTGATAAATACGGTTTATGCGCCCGATCGGCAAGTGGCAATTTTTAAGATGATATTATTACGATTATATTTGTACCGAGGATCGCATTAATCGCAACGGAAATAATATAACGATTTCGTTTCGATCGGAAAATGTACTATGAAAAATGCGAACATCATTAATCATAATTTTTATACGCACGACGACGACGACAGCGGCGGCGGTACCATTGCTGTAATTTTGACAAAACATTTTAATTAGTCGAATATAAATAAAATAAATAAACGGTTTTTTTTTTTACCATAATTTAACTATCATCTATGTCTACGAAGATTTTCAGTAAAATATATTGATTATAGAATCATCTTTATATATTCAAAATGGCACCTTTTTCTATACATGGTATACACCGCACACCTATTAATTCTCTTGACCATAAAATTGCAAACAACTGCTCTTTCCCTTTCAAAACCATATTCGAAGGGAGAATATTTAGATGTTCGAATATTGATAATATGAAAAACATTAATATGGGATATAGGCCGTTTATAAGTTGCAACAGTTTAAATTTGATTCCACTTTAGTGTACAGTTATTATCTAACGATGAATATAAAATTAATTACCCTTCTTTACTCATTCTGTCGATATTCTAAACTGTTATAATTTAGAAACTGTACATTGGATACTAGTGTTATGCATATTGACGGTTTTAGAAAAAATATATTTTTTTTTTCGAATCTGTATTGCAAATTGGGAGGGGGAAGTTAATATTTGAAAATCAAAAGTTGATCATGTATGTATTGTCCATGTAAAAATTATGGATAGCAAGTTTAAAAATAGCGTTGAAATAAAGCCGAAACAATTCTTTAAAATTCAAGAATCTGAAAAAATCGCTGTATCACCGACACACAAAAAAAAAAAAAAACATATTTTATATCACACTGTTTAATAATATTATGATTTAGAGAATTATATTTTTTTTTTGTTTGAAAAACACATGGTTACAATAATTCCAGTATAACCGAATTCCCTATACCTATACGCATCATCTTGCGACCTCACCGACATACCGTGTTCGACCGATCGAAAACGTGACGGAATAATATTATACCTACGCTCCTGACAACGATTAGTCAATTGACTCTATTCGATTTAATAACATAATATTGAGTTTAACAGTCGGTTGGTTAGCCGTTTATTTGTTTATTTATTTTTTCTTTTCGAACATGACGTGCACCGAACTAATTAATGACGTCTTAGTAATGCGAAATAAATGAAAGTGTACGAGAAAATTGCCTGGACGTTCGTATTAAAAAGTATAATAATAATAGTACTGCCACATTATATGCTCACAACGAAGAGAAAAGTTATTATTATTATTATTTTCGTTTGCCAACGATAATTTCTTATTTATTGTTTCGTCCTCGAGGCGAACTAAGTTCAAATAAACCACCCCCGAGCGGTTTCGGAAATATATTTTGAAATAAAAAAGACAGATCGATTTTGCAGTCGACGTAGATTTTTATCGAAAACAATAATATACCTACTACAATTGATACGGTTCAATGATGGTTTTCGATTAAAATAATATAGGAACGGTGGCTGAGTTGATTATTTTCCTACGGGATTACGGTATTCTTATGTATTACGATAATTAATTTAAATCGATAAAATACTTAGGCATATTAGTTTATATGTAGGTTCTATTTATATTGTCTAGAAAGTAAAATAACAAATTACAAACATACCCTTAGATCAGCGGTTCTCAACCTTTGGTACGTGGAAAGCTTGTACGTGGCACGAGAAGAAATGTTTTAATAAACGAAAAAAAAAAAATGTTATTAGTTACAAATTTATAAAGTAGTTCATTAATTCATAAATAATAGCAAAAATAATAACTGTACGCATTTTATACAGTTTTAATTTTATTTTTATGTTTGTGTTAAATACTTATAATATAATAAGGTAGCTGACGAGGCATATCCCACAGGAGGTATGCAGTTGAAAGCGGTATACACCAAGAGTGCAAATGGTATTGGTTAACCCACGCAATATTCATTTATGCCATGACATATATCGCGATGATACAAAATCAATATTTGTTATTAATTTCAATTATTTTTAACATATAATTCACGACATAAAAAAATATTATATGGATTATAACCATTAAATTTTGCATGGTTTTTATATATTACCGCCAAGCTTTAGATTTAATCATAATAATATACAGTCGGCTGTCCAGCTGTTTTAAATATCCTTGAACAAATGAACACGCATAACATTATATGTTATATTGAATGCCTTCGTGTATTAATCTACGTAAAATTTGATCAAATATATTGATGTTAATACTGTGTTGGGTTTTAGCTGTGTTCTTTTTTTTTTTTATTAAAACTGTAGGTACCTGACCATATAATGCATCTCCAATAAATATATAGAATTACTAGCTATAGTATAGATACTCGCGTTACTTCGAAAACACAGCCCACACATACCGTAGAACATTGATAATATATTTGGAAACGATTTATTATTATTTATTATTATTAGGAAAAGTACCTAATAATAATATCATATAAACTCTATACAAATGGAGACGGTACCTATAATTAAAAAAATAAGTATATACGCACAAATAAAATCAATAAACATCCTAAAATACCAGTGTAAAAAGAATGTTAGGGCCTTAGGGGTAGGTATACCTTCACAATGAAACTGAAATCTTCTATCCCCCAAACTTATTAAACGGTACCTATATACACCAACACTATTTCCATACGAACAGCACAAAACGCACAAACTTCAAACGATTTTAAGACCATGCAGTAAACTTTGTAATATTATGTGTGTTATGTGTAGTATACTTGTATTATTATGTATTATTATATGCGTTAGATACCGTTGTCGGATACTAGTCATGAATTCCTACATTGCAAAAGAAAATTCATTAATTTCCGAGTTTTTTTTTCCATATAAATCCAAAACCGTGACACCAATTACATGATTTTATTTCGTAGTGTTTTCTATTATATATTACTTTATATACTTTATATGCTTCGAAATTGCGTTCTTAAAAATGTTGACTTCATTAAAACACTATATAATATAACGACTAAATGCGATGAAATTAATCGAAATTGATAATATTAACATTTTTTTAGCACGTTTATACATATCTGTTGTGCTGGGCTTCCGGCAGTTTTTACCTCGTGGTAATCCAGAAAAACAAAAATCCACGAAAGAAGTAAAAAAATTGTCTGATACACCCGACACAATTTTGCACAAAAATCGATGATTATTTTTGATCAATTTCTGACACGAGTCTGCAAAGTGAATGAAATTGGTTGTAGCCCTCAGATGAAGCAATATTGGGCATTGTTACATTTGAAGTTATGCTCTATGACTTCGTTGTTGAACTGACCCCCATTCCCATATTAATTGTCCGTTGTTGTGTCATTATAACAAAATAAGTAGTTACTGTTGCCCAAGGGCTTATACACATTTTAAATTTGGTACACAATACAAAATTAGATAAAAACAATTTACTTACTGTAATTTATCACGTTTTCATTACTAAAATACATAATTATATAAATAAACCGGTATGTACGTTTATTGAAAGTATACAATTTAATTGGTATGCTTTTAAACAAAAATCGTTAAAAAATCACAAATAAATTTGATTTCGAATTTTGATGTTTTTCAATAATTTTTGTGGACTATAATTTATCAATGTTTTTTTTTTTTTTTTAATCATTTTAAATTTTCTCTGGGCGTATGAAAATATTTGGTGGGGTAATAGTTGATTTAAACACTATTATTATTAATAATAGTTACTTAAGGATAATATGAAAAAAAAAAAACTTTTTAATTTCAAAAAGATAATTCACCATATGTATAGCCAGAAAATATAATGCCCAGTTACGTGACAAATAGCTGCAAATTAACAGGTTCTTAAACATTTTTTGTGTAGTTGAAATTTAAATACATCACAGTTACGTATTTACTTAAACAAAACAATTCTTAAAATCAGTTGTTCTTTCCATACCTATTAATAAAATTGAATTGATCGTTTTTAGTAGTATTATCAATTATTTTATAACGTATAACTGAAAATAATTAACTTGTTATTTAAGTAATTAAGTAAATACATATTTTTTTGTTTGTTACATTTTTTTTTGAAATGCTTTAATAATCCGTGACGGTTTATTGATTACTAGCTACCTCAATCCATGAGATACGGCTATCTTAGAATTGTATTGAAAATGAAAATTGTGATTAATAGATATGTATTTTTATTATAATTATCATAATTTTTTGTAAAAAAAAAACTACTTTGGAAATTCGATGTCGTGTAAAATCTTAAATGCAGAAGGATCGGTGGAGTTCGTAACCATAATGACTAAGTAGTATGTTCGATAAAACCTAACTAATTCTTTAGGAAATCCAATTATTGCATATATGCGATGCTTGGATTACTGTTTCTGAATTATCGTATTAATTTATTATATTTTGTTGTTGGGGTCGCCAAGTGCGGGCGATTGGCCATATAACTCGAGGGTTACTTTATGTACCTATCAACGTCATTTCATTGTCGACTATGCAATGCAAGTTTACGGAAATGCGCTTGGATAGCATTTAAATTCGTTTTAGGTAACACTTCAATGATTATGACGTTACGGGTGATTAACTCGTACGATTGTAAACCTAAATTTATCACTCGTCAAAACAGAAAATATAATACAATTTAAAAATCAATACATACTTACTATACTTACAATGACAATATAATACGTCATCGTTTTTTTTTTTTTTTTTTTGCTTTACTCTTACATGCACTATTTCGATACGATATTATTATGTTCTATTGCGATGGTTATTGTACCGCGTTATGATTATAATTTATATATATATATATATATATTATGTATTCCAATGTTTTATAATATTATAGTATGTACAGTAGAGCATATTCTCGATGAAAAAATATAATAATAATAATTACATTTTACAATGATAGTTATATTTATACGATGTATATATATATATATATAGTATGTACGCAGGTAGGTATAGATACAGTGAACTCCGCTGATTCACAGTCCGTATTTTTTTAGCTTAACATTTGCAAAAGCATGTAGATTATCGTGAACATGGCACAGTTGGAGATCGCGAACGAACCCGAAGTCGAAGTGCTACGGACGCCGTGTTGCATGGCCGCCGGTACCTCGGCTGAGAAAATAGAAAAGAACAAAAAAAAAAAAAAAAAACAATTTAAAATACGCACCTTATAATATTATTATTTTATATAGGTTTCTATTTTATATATTATTATAATACGCACGTTAGACTTTTGAACGTATTTCAGTACATTATTATACGCGGAATAAGACCGGTATACCTACCAAACCTGCGGTGTTTACGGGTAAATTATACCATACATAATTTTAGACACTTCGTTTAATCCGTTTAAACTTAATTTTCGCCCGACATGCGATTCGGTAACTTAATCGCTCCATTATAATACATATTTCATCAACGATTTTTTTTTAAATTTTTTATTTTTCGTGTGTATTCTATAATAATAATAATAATAATAATAACAATAATAATAATTGTTATTGTTATATTGCTTACCCTTCCGCCTGTCTATACCCATACTGACAAGCAACAACAATAAAGTTTCATTAGCAAACTTATTACACCGATAAAAAATTATTCAACTTCATGACCCGTATTACAATAATGTTATAATGTTATATAGGTCTATTATTATGTACGCCCGAACGGAACGTGTTTTTAATTAATGTTATTTTTTTTTACTTTTAGATTTCGAGTGCAGTAAAGGAAGCTGTATATTAATTAAATAGGATTTACGCTTTTTTTTTTTTTTTGTTCTGGGAACATTTTTTTGGCCAACAGAAATATTCCGATTTTTTCTCGTCGTATACCTCAAAAGAAGCGAATTCATTATCCGTGGTATTTTACCAGGAAAACAAAAATTATTCGATATTTTTTTAATGCTTTATTTGACAATGTGGCGAGTATAATATCTGGATTTGTTCATGCATTATTTTAAAATATATGGAATTTACGGCCGGCGCTGCGGTAGGATAGATCACCACGTATGGCCATCAACATTTCCTTTATATTAATATTTTATTTAGTCTATCTACGTTTATTAAATCAAATTAAAAACTAAACCATAAAAAGCATTACACGTTTACTAATACTTAGTTTAAGTTTCAATATCTTCAGAACTTTATGGAATGAAAAAATAGCAAAAATAATTTCAAATTGTATTTTCCCGTTTTATGGCCATCCTACGCGTTCGATGTTTTTTTTAACAAATAATATAACCCAGTTAATTAATCAATGTAGATGAAGTGATCAATAACCATATGAGTTGTTAAATAACAAAATTACAATATTTATGTATAAAATATAAAAATGAGTGGCCATAACAGTGATATTAGTAATAATATAGTTGGTAAATTCACCTACGTTATTTGAAACATTAAATGCGAAATTTTCAACAGTTCACCGCCAAGGTCTTTTTCTAAGTGTTTTTATTTTTGTTGATTTCTTGGTTACCGTGGCTACACGGAAAAAAACACAACTAATAATATTCCGCTCAGAACTATTTTCATTGGTAAATCGCAATAATGATTTATCGTTACATACTATATAAACTAAAATACTCCATATTATATAATATCCACTTTTTTAACTACCAGCAGTAGCCTACTCATGATATGAAACATGTCCTGCGTTTTTTTTTAAAAATATTATCAATTAGCACTTTAGTCATCCTACAAACAACACATCGAAGAAAGACTCTCATTTATATTAATTATCCACCGCCCAAATGAGGATTACAATATAGAATTTACAACATTTAACCGAATCCCAATTATTAGTATCAATAATTAATAAAAAAATAGACTTTTAAAATTCCAAAAACGCTTATAGCTCTCTGTACCTGTACCTACCTATATTGTAAATTTAATGAATTTAACAGAAAATTAATAATTTGTACACTAATTTCGGGTTTGAATAAATTATCAGAATGGAGGTACCTAGGTATATAACATGTAGTTTTCACCGTGGCGTTTAATATTATTTCGAAAGTCATAAATATTACAAAGTTTTTAATTTCATTCTGTAAATATATCCGTGGAACAAATTAATACCTATAACAACGATAGTATAACGGTAACGATAAATTGTTTATGTCCTGTACCTACAACTAGGCGAACAAAACGTATTACTATAATTTTGTTTTCTTTTTGTCGTAATCATTTCTCCTGGAGTATTTTATAGTGTAAATGCTTGCCGTATGAAGTTAAACGATTAATTAACAAACAAAAAATATATGTCGGTTAAATTATAATTGTTAAAACTTGATTTTTGATACGGTTTAGGTTTCTAAATATATTTTTAAAATAAGTTTAACTTCCGTTGTGCCCGCATAGTGACTGGTACATAATTACGATTGTTGTGATTTAGTCATTCAGGAGATAATAATGTATTATTCGTAATATTATTATTATCATTATTAATTTAAATATAACTTCATACTATAGCTAATTTTAAGAAAAAAAGTTGATATTACTTATGGGTATTTCATTGTTGTAAGTGGGAAATTGGGAAGGTAGATGCATACATGTATTTAATTTTTATACGTATGCGGTGATTAAGCATTGCTGACGAAATAGGATTCTGAGCGAAATTCGGTTAATCATTATTTAAAAAAAGCATAATTTGTACGATTTTCTTTAAAATTTGAACTTAAAACGCCTATGAAAAAAACTAAATCAAGATTAACTTTTTTTTACCACCAATTAAACTTAAAATAAACCTCGGTGTTAAATATTTAAACATTTTTGTTTGGCTAAAAATTGTATACACACAAAACCAAATGAAAACTTTAACATATTTAACAAATCTTAGAATGTATTATGTGCTTATAATTAAAGCTATACATTTGTAGTAAAATACCTTTATTTTTAGCTGATTGTGAAATGTACCTATCTTTGTAACACAAAGTTTAAATCATAAAACGGAGAACTAATTTGTGAAAATATAAGCATTTAGAGACATTTAAATTTAAATTTGCTCTTTTCATACTTTTAATTTTTTAGGTCATCTAATTGTTTTATTTTTTAAAAACAGTTTTTCATTTTAGTTCATGTTACACTATAAATACCTAATTTTACATTAACCACTTATTTTATTTTTTAAACAAGCTGTATACAACTAATCATGTTAAGTACAACGTTTAATTTGTTTTCATTCGATAAGATAATGCTAATTAATTGCAATATATCTGCAGCGAATTTCCTGATTAATAGGAATTTTTATTCAATTTGGATATTTAGGTCATTTAGTAGTTTAGCATTTTTAGAAATTTTAAATGTATTTTGTACAGTTATGTAATGCATTCAATTTAGAGCTCTGCTTATAATAATACATATTATTTGTGTTATATTATATTAATTAGTGTGTGCATTGGGTACAATAATTGTTTGATATACATTTTCAAATGTCAATTAAACGTTTTAATCTTGATAGGGTGCGCACGCAAACTTAATCGTTAAGTATTTATCACATTTTGAAAGTAAACTAGGAGTATTAGGAAACCTGGGAGCATCGCGTTATGGTATAAGACAAACAATAAGATAGGTAGGTATGCTACAGAATTTTGTCGTACGTTTTGGCAACTCAAGAATACGTGGTGAATATGTGAGAAATATTGTTATTATAGACAAACGAGGATCCGAGAATTATAACAAACAAAAATATTAATAACGAATTTCAAAGTTGATTCACATTGGTGAAATATGCAAAATATCAGTAATCCGATTGCGGAAAGAATACATGCGAAAAATATATCCGATGAAATAATGTTATTTTTAATCTTTAACAATATATATATATATACTTTTTTTAACGTAGCATGTCAACATCGAACTATCAATTTTCCTTGTGTACGCATAATTATAAAATATAGTGATTTTAATATTAAAATAGTTGGGAATGTAGGTACAGACGAAAATTTAATGTATATTTGTAAGAAACAATAAACCATTACTAACGAAAAAACCATTCTGAGTAGAGTTTAGTAGATAATGTTGCTTTGTTAAGAATACAATAAATGGTATATATCATATAATGGTAAAATTATTGCAAAAATGTGCGTTGCTATGACAACAATGATTGATTAAAAAATATTAAAATAATAAAAACTTAATAATAACAAAAAACAAATAAAACAGTTGTCAATGTTAATCTTACTTTTAATCTTTCAATCTTTTTTACCATATAGACTGAGGTTTTCCTCATTATCTCGAATATTATCTCGAATTTAAAAAAATGACCTCTTTAAAGTACCATCCAGGGAAATTTTTTTCAGAAAAAGTGCTATACTTGATAAACGGAGTATGCTTTCTGATAGAAAAATTGTTTATATAAAAAAAATAAAAATCATTGTAAAACCAATACATTCTTCTTTTCACTCAGAAATAAAAAACAAACGAAAACCTGTTGTTAATACATCATAATTTGTACGTAATAGAAAATAACATGATATTTGCCAAAAACGGTTTACTTCATAATAGTATATATAATATAATATAATATATATATATATATATATATCTATTAGATTAAATTCAGATATGTTCAATAATGTTTTATATTTTCAAGGTTAAATTAAATC